CCCCCCCCGATAAAACTTGAAGTAAATCAAGTAATCTTTCTTATTTACTAGCAAAAGGAAAACCTGACCTGCTTAGTATTTTTTGTCTGTTTCTAGAGATAAATATGATAGATATCCTTACTACACCATCAATGGCAAAGCCAAAACAAGACTACTCACGTACTCCAGGACAGTTGTTGTCTCTCATCAGTTCTCTGGGGTTTGTAAGTAATTTTCACTGTCTTTTGAAGTACTTCAGTTTTTCAGTTTACTATCCTAAATATAATAATAGGAGTAAAAAGGCTATTCTTGCACCTCTTCTGCTAGCTGGTAAACTTCTGAAGTGTTTACCTTGGACTATATTTCAAATTGCTGACTATCCGTTGTGCTTCAAAAAAATTGGTAAATGGGCACAGCTAAGCTCCAATGCAAATGTAATAAAGAATGTGTGAAGTTACCCTCTCAATCCTGGATGTTTTGTTCAGGCTCCATTAACTTTTAGTTATGCTTCCTCCTGCTTGCTAGTATACTCCTGTTGGAATGAAAATGCCTGCATGCAATTCAAGTCAATCGTCTGACAGTCTGAACGGAGTGATTTCTCCCTTACCTATGGTCCAAAAAGAAAATACTCCTCTTTCAACTAAATTATTCAAAACATGTGAGTATATCGAGACTCTTACTGAGTATTACTCTGGCTGTAAAGTTGTCTTTTAATTTTTATGTGAGTAGCTTGTGCTCACTTTATAAAAGGTGTGCTTCTATCAGTATCTTGCTGTATACCATTCCACTAGTACTTAGTCTGACATGTTTTCACCTACACTATTTGTGTCATCTTTTTTTTTTTTTAATGTACCACCACAGAATTCAAAATTACCCTTTTAAGATTTAAATAGTGTCAGTTCTTGGTATAATTTTGTGGAAAAATATTTAATATGGCAATGTGTGCTTTCATTTAAATTGTCTTAATTGCCTTGCTGCTTTCTTATTTCTAACCTGGAATGAGAGAAAAGGCTATTGTGGTGCTAATGTTCACATTGCTTTTAAATTCTTGGCAAGTCTGTATCTCAAAAAAAAAAAGAGAGAATTGACTATGCAGGGAAGATGAGAGAAATGATGTAATGCATAGCTTTCTATAACTTCCTTTGATGTAAAAGCTTGACATAGTGTGAAACTGCTTAATATATATTGTTTATTTCTATCAACGTTTGATTTTTTTTTTTCTTTCAAGATCTTGATACTTCTCAATTAACTCCTGTGATGCCAGTGAGAAGTTTAACTCCAACTCTACTTCAGTCTAGAAAAAGGTTTGGTACCTCCAGTGCCAGTAGTCAGTCACGCACACACCTGTCTGGTATGGAATCAGAATGCTGCAGCAGCCCCAGGTGGGAGAAAGATACAGAGGTCAGGACTGTTTCATCTTTCCATTATAAATTAAAATTAGCTTGTACCTGTATATGCACTGTGGTAGATCTCCTCTACTTACCTCCCCCAGTTATTTCAAGTATATAGAAGCCTTACTACAGGAGAAGGAGCAGGGGTTGTAATTGTTGCTGAGTAGGAGTTTTGGATTCAAACTAATACTATCTTTTTCTTCAAACAAATAGTAGTCCTGTGCAACCTAACACGAAAATCACATGCCCTTTAGTATGCAGAAAGAGGGGGCTTCTACTGGACAGCACTGGTTTAGCCCTATTCTTCATAAGGTGGGCAGTGCTGGGAGCACTGGCTCTTTGGAAGCTGACCTTGTCTCTATAGTTTATATTAGCTCAGCATGCAGACATAGAATTTCTTTAAAAGGCAGAACTTGGGAAAAATAATAAAATTAACTTCAAACTTCTGCTAGCTATTAGAAACTGAAAAGTTCATGGTTTGTAATACTGAAGGGTTTTGTGTCAAATAAGCTCACACCAAAAACTATAGCTGATCCAAAATACTATCTGTTTTAAACTTAATGAAATTCTGTAGACATACAAACCCAAATGCTGCTGTGCTATTTAGTGCATTGCCACAATTCCTATTTAGATCACAGACAAAAACATATACGTTTTAAACAATTTATAATTCTTTATCTGTCCATTTCCCAACGCCTTGTTTTTAGTATTGTGTTACCAAAACAGGAGTAATACCAGGTTTTTCCTTTTGTTATCTCTAAAGTATAATATGCCACAGAGTAGCATGATGGGGTTCTTTGGTTTGGGGTTTCTTGGAAACCAAAAATATCTGTAGCTTAACTTCCTAACATAAAATGGCAAATACAGCTTTAATTGCTGTATTTCTTCATCCTTGGGCATTTTAAAATACTGCATTTTCTATTGTATTCTAGCAAGCTTATTTTATGTTCCTAAAGTCAAGTTATCCCTAATTTAGTTTTGATCATTTTGGAATGTTTTCTGACATGTTTATCACTACTAGGGGTTGTAAAGGATAAGTAATGCTTGCCAACTTGCAGTTCTTTATGGAAGTAGAAACAAGGTATTTTAAAGGACACATTTCTTAATGCTGTAATCCTGTGTTTTTGATGCTCAAAACAAAATGTGCTCATTTGCAGCAAAGTGAAGATGAACTACGTTCTGCAACAGGCAAAACAAGTAACAGTGGGTCAGCCCTCCTTTCAAATGTAGAATTTCTGAATAGCAAAGATATTAAAGCTTTAAAGAAGAAAGAACTGGAGTCTGCCATTTCTCCCATCAGCAGCAATGATTCCAGCAGTAGGCAGAAGCTGGGAAGTGAACAGCCCAATATAAGGGATACTCCTGTGACCACACTGGATGTGAAAGGCATAGTCAGAAAATGTCTTTCTGAAAATAAGATTTGGGAAGAACAACTCTTTGTAAATAAAAGAGAGAGAACTAATGAAGCAACAGAAACTTCCAGTCAACAACAGTCACCTTCAAGGCAGAATGAGCCTCTCAAGCTGGCCAAAGAGGAAGAAATTTTTGAAAAGCCAGGTGTAAAAAGAAGCTTTGAATTAGTTGACACTAGTCCTTGTCAGGAGCTTAACTATGTTAAAAAAAGCAATGCAGAATATAAACGTGGCTGTCAGATCTCAGAATTTCCAGCAAACAAAAGGACAGGTTTGACAACAGAAATTCAATCCTTAATGCTTTGTGATGATGGATGCCTACGTGACGCCTGCAAAAGCAACAAAGAAGTTAAGAGTTTTACTGGTAACCAGCAAAGTGTAGAAAGATCACTTACTCCAACTATAGCCAAAAATCTTATGTGTGATCTGGATGTGGACTATGAAAAGGATGATAAAAAGGAGTATATGAACTCAAGTTTTGTAGGTACTGATGATGAAAAACCTTTAGGAATCCTCAGTGCAGATTCTGACTTATTTCCTGAAGTGTCTGTTGGAGAGAGCCATTTAGAAAAGCAGCTTTTAGATTTGGACAAAAGTGTTAAAGACCTCTCTTTCGAGGAACTAAAACCAGAAGGCATGCTTGTAACATCACTGGAGTCCCAAGATACCTCACAAAATGGAGAGGAAGCACATATTGTCCAGGACTGCAAGCCATCACATCATCAAAAGGATCATGACCAAAAACACATGAAAGAAACTTACCTCGATACAGTATCTTCTCCATCAGAAAACATAATGGAAGCACTGAATCTAGTTAAAAAAAATGCTGTTGCTTTTCGAAGTTATAATAGTCCAATTAATATGTCCAATGTATCTGAGCCATGTAGCATGGCTTCCTTAGATATAATGAATCTCTCACCTGCTTGTAGTGGCTCTTACCCAACAGCTATTACTCCATTACAGAAAGGAAGACCATATCGGGTCTATCAGGTATGTACATGCCCACAGACACGTAGAAACTTTGTGCACACATTAGACACTAGTGATTTGAAATTTTCAGTTTTAATTTAGGGAAAATTAAATTAGTTTGAGGTATTCTGTCAAAGTGATCTTTGCTTACAGGTCTTCACTTACTCCACTTGTATGGCCAAAATTATAATTTCTGTAAGAGCTTAGCAATAACTGTATGTCCACTGGTTTGCCTCTGGCTCAACGTGCATTGTCTGTCCACCTCTCCAAGAAATCCTTTGCTATTGCAGTGAACTGGTGAAGAAAGCCTGTGCTATTTTGTCTTATCCTACTTTTAGTGCAGTGTGGTACTTCCTGTGAGTAATTATAGTTTCCTGGTATAATTTGAAGGCTTTTTTTCTTTTTTCTTTTCTTTATAATCCTACATCCCTCCCAAGAGAGTCTGCAAATACTGTTTAGCTGCTAGTAACTGCTGTTGTGCTGCCATGTTTTTTTTTATCCTGGTAAAAGTGGTGGTGTAATGTGTACTGTCAAATACTAGTTACAAGCCTGTTATGAAGAGTGATGTAAACAGTAGTAGCTGCTTGCAGGTTATAATGTTTTTGCTTTGTCCTTTTTTAATCCTTCTGAGAGTAAGTAAAAGTATCCTTGCCTTAAAGGCAATTAGACTCCTGATGTGGGAAAAGTAAAAGTATACTTTTCCATCAGTATTTCCTGCTTCATTTTGCATATCTTTGAGACTTTCATCCAGTTACTTAAGTTCTAGTTGCAGGATTTAAAGCTATCTGGCAGAGTGTTGGATGATTTGGTGTACCAAAATGCAACATTCAAAACATTGGGGTTTTTTTCCTGCTTGTCTGAATTGCTGGCTTCTGTTTTATCTGTATAAAATTTTAATTGACTATGTGACTTAGCTTACATTCAGCTGAAATAGTCATAGTAGTGTGCACTTAATCTCCTGAGAAATAAATGACTGATGGCATGATATGTTTTTGTAACTTAGATTTGAACAGGAAGATACCTTTTTTTATACACTTTTGTGATTATCTTTAAAATTGCATCATTGTGATCTGATTACCTGTTTTCTGTTCTAATAGTGGATTATGTAGCCTTTATGGCACGGTCATAATGAACTGATCTCTGCTGAAAATGAAGTTAGAAACAAAATTGTACTAGATATATGGGTATATTGAAAAATAAAGGGTATATTGAAAAATAAAGAGTGAGAGTCTCTGCAAGATAATTTAGTAGTATCTCCAGATCGTAACAGGAAATCTGTCATTGCAGTCAGCCTATCGGCTGTGAGAGTTTATTGATTTTTTTTTTTTTTGCAAGCCTGCATATTTTATCAGGTTTGTGTAGCTGTTATCAGTCACTAAGTCTAACTTGAGCAGAACTTCATCTGCAGGTATTATGCAACACATAGGTTAAATAATAAAGGTTTAATTTAATATACTCTGCGTATATCTCATAGGCAATATGTGAGAAAATTCAAGATTCTCCTATTTTACAGGTATTTGACATATGCTTGCTTTTCACTGGCCTATATTAAGAACTCAATACTAAAGTTGAAGGCTATTTTGACATTCTAATTAGTATGTTACCTTCTTCAGACTTGAATTTGAAAGAGGAGTTTAAGATTGGTTGGGATTTTTTTTGGAGACATACTTGTGGATTTGACACTGGAGGAAGAACTTGGAGAAAAATTTCTTGAGTAGGCACCTTAACTTTTTATGATTCAAGATTGTTGAGATAAATTTTCACATATTTCACACATACTTTTTCAGGGAATGTACATTTTGTGACAAGTTCTTGACTTGAACTTAACTATGAAATATTATGCCCGTTACTAAATCTGGAGACTAGAGTTTCTCAGCTGGTTTTGTTTGACATGTGGAATCTTTGTTGCATCTTTTAAGACCCCTCATCAGGGAGATGCTGGCACACCATACAGGACTCCAAAGAGTGTGAGAAGAGGAGCTGCCCCAGTAGAAGGTGAACGCATCCTAGGGACTCCAGACTACCTGGCACCTGAGCTGCTTTTGACAAAGCCTCATGGTAAGGCAAACAAACATGAAGCTTGGAAATACTTGAAAGGTGACATATTTACACTTGTAAATGTCTCTAGAGCTCTAAATCCTTCAAAGCTCTAAATCCTTCAAATAATATGATACTGATTTTTTAAAAAAATACTAAGTACTTAGCTTTTGGCAGTGTGGATGGCTGTGTTTGCTTCAGCTGCTCCTTCCATTTCCTTTTTTCATATGACTGGAGGTTTTGACTGTCTGGCATAGTCTTACGTGCTGCTAATCTGATGCATTGGAAGTTGTGCTTAGGCAGCCTGAGTCTTGTTATGTGGCTTGGTCATCCTGAGTGTCCTTAAAGATTCTTCAAGGTGAGGCAGGGGGAACTTAGTGAAATTTAGTATGAAAGGATTAAGCCTCCAATTATTCTGAGAATGCCTTCCATGTTTATTGATCCTAAAGTGTTATGTGCATCCAGATGAGTTTATAAAGTTGTGTTAAAATTGGTTATTAAATTGAGTTAGAGATTTCTGGCAGGATCTTCCATGCAAGAGGACAGTAGTAGCATTTTTTTTTCCCTAAAATGCTGTAATAAAATAGCACAGTTCTGAAGTGCATACATTTCTTTGGCTCATCCTGAACTCCACTGATATCTACAAGGTCTGAAATATTTTCCTGCTAACTTGCAAGAACCATTAACAAAAAATAACAAATGTATCGCGGTTATATTGCATTTGTATCTATAATTACATTTTATTTCTATCTCAAAAGTACACTTTTACTTTGTAGAGCTAATAGTGTTAGGAGAATTTATGAGGTAAGATCTTAATTGAGAGAGATTGATTGCCAATTTGTTGAACAATAAAATTCTGCGGTATTCAGCCAATCTGCATTAACTAAAACTGCACAAAGAGATTTAACAATTTAACTGTTATGACTGAAATAAATACCAACGACGTATGTTTAACTATGCTCTTCCATTTAGGAATCCTGGTTATTTGGTAGACACTAAAACTGGATAATAGTTTGGAAATGTAATCAATGCCACTTAGACAATGTGAAACTTTGGTCATAAGGTGACCTTCATGCAAATACTGAGTATTTTCAGTGATAACTTGCAAAGAGTCTGAGTTTTATGTTAGGAAATGTCAAATCTCCCATTACCTTCAGTGAAGCCAGGATTTTCTGGCTTTGGAACTCAAAACTTTCCCTCACTCAATGTTTCTGCTGTTGTTGACTTGCTTGTAAAAGTAGTTGTAATCCTAAACTATAATCATGTTAAAACTGTTTTATTTCTAACTTAGATTTAACATTGCTATCTTTCTTTATTGCTGAGTTATACCTTAAGAAAAAAAATCTGCATTTCCATGCATTCAGAGTCATATTCAGTATTTGTGTTTGCATTTGTTAGGCCTTTTTGCCACAATTGTAATGTTCTTGTTTCGTTGTCTTTTGATATGCAGGGACTCTGATCTCTGGTGAGTTTGCTATATGCTGTGCAGAAATGGAGTGTTCAGTGTAACTGAACAGTCGAAGTATAATTAGATCACAATTTCCAAGAAAATTGTTTGGGTAAACAATCTTTCTGTACAGAAAGATGTGTCCAATATGTGCTCTACATAAGAATGTGTGGCTTCCACAAAAGATTCAGGAAACATCAGTATCGCTGGTGAGGCTATCAGAAATCACACATGGAAGCCTATACTTCAGGAGGAAAGTCAGTATTCTTACAACCACTGTAACAGGAAATAAACCACAGACACTTTTTTCTCATTGTTTCCTTTAACTTTATGCAGTCAGTCTGATTTACTTTGTGCATGAGTGAAGAAGGCTTGGATGCTCCAGACTTGATATTTCTGTTTCTTGCTCCAAATACTGATAGCCATGATGTAGCAGGAATATAGTAGGAGTTAATCTGATCTTTAGTTAAACTTTGAGTGGGAAAAACTTCTTCTGAAACCTGTGTTACTACATTGTTCAAAGTTGTGATGTTATTAGACTTTGACTGAAGCTGGGAATGTTTTATCTGAACATCCAGTTACCTCTAACAACACTGGATGTGATCTCACTGCTTTGATGTGCTTAGCTTGGTGGGGCACTCTTAACAGCAGTAAAAGAGCATTAGAGGACTAGCTACACACTGCAGTTTTCAGCATTCCTAAACTTAGTCAGTAGTCCTTTTGAAATGGCTCAAAACAGGTGTGTTTTTAGCTTGGAGGTGTCTTGATTTTTTTTTAATATGCCAAAAAAGTCAAGAAAAATTACACTTGCTCTTTCAAAGATTTTTTTAAAATTTATACAGTGGAGTGAGCATGGCTTAAAGACGCAGAAAGCTTAGAATGCATGCACTGGTGTCTGGGATTGCTTTTTTTAAGTAGGTTAATAAGATGGGTTTGGAAAAGGAAAAACAAATTAATAAACCAAAAAAAACCCTGGAATGTGGAAAACCAAAATTATCTAATAACAAAGGAGAGAGCTAGTAGCTACACATTGCCCTAATCAACTTTAGTGTAATGGAAATTAATTCCAGCTTCTTGCATGCTAGCTCATCCCTGCAAGTTTTTGTCAATATTTTGACACACATTCAGTCAAATGAAAATTAAGTCCAATAGTTTGAATTTTTTGAGTCCTGTCAAAGAGCAGAGAGAGGTTACAGGTTACAATGTGGAGCACTCATCCAGGTGCTGGAGCAGTTGTTAGAGGCAACTGTTTCTTATCACAAAACAATCTCTTGAAGTCAGCTGTTAGGTTCTCTGAGTTGGTAAGTAGGTTGTTCTTAAGAGCCCCCTTGCTTTTATCAGTAAACTCTGGTATTATCTGTAATGAATTAAGGAGCAGATTGACTTTAAAAAGCCATTTAATGTATTTTTAATCTTCTGCATGATTATCAAGTACAATTTATTTTTTCTTCCTTTAATTTCCAAGAAATTTTGCAGGATTTAAACACACTCTTTAAATGGCTAATCTTCAAATCTCTGCAAATAAGGTTTGTGTTAGTGTAATGACCTAGATTTCTCTTATCAGGTTCTGCTGTAGACTGGTGGGCCCTTGGAGTTTGTCTGTTTGAATTTCTAACTGGAATTCCACCTTTTAATGACGAAACACCAACACAAGTCTTCCAAAATATTTTGAAAAGAGGTAAACTATTTCAGTAATTGGGGAAACTCTTATTTCCAACACTTGTTTTACAATTTGAGTTACTGACTCATCTGCATCTTTGTCTGTAGATATTCCCTGGCCTGAGGGTGAAGAAAAGCTGTCTGATAATGCCCAAAATGCAATAGATATTCTTCTAACAATTGACAGTACTAAGAGAGCTGGACTGAAGGGTTTGTATTAAAATTCTCTTGTGTTCTTTGCAACTAATTAAAAATACCACAGTAGTGGTGTCCTCCTCCTGAAACTCAGACTACTGAACTTTAATGCCTATGTAGGTTACATGTATAGTGCCAGAACACTTCGCAAGTTGTGGAATTTTGCCCTTTTGAATGAGGAAACTTAGGGGGTGGAGTGTTTTTTATTGAACTTTTGTTTTGGTTTAATGCTGCTTTTGTATGGATGTTTGGTGTTTTGACATCTGATGGACCAAAGTTCACTCTTACCAAACTCAGTAACAGGTATTTGGTGTTTTTGACCTAACTGATTTTTGGGAACCTTGATTAAAAGCCTGTAGTTTGGGAGAGAAGCCTCCTACAAAAGTTAATTTGAAGGAGTTCAGTCTTTTTCCAGATAAGAACAGCTTTAAAGCAGCGTTTGGCAGAGAACACCAATATCCAATGTTTGGGTTTGGTTTTTCTCCCCTTCTTCAGAGACATGGGCAGGAGCTGACTGCAAGCTGTAGGACACTTTAATACTCCTTTGGACAAGGCAATGAAGTCTCTTCACCCTTCTCAGCTGAAGGCAGCTTTCAGTACAGGAGAGCTTTAAGAGCAGAACTACACACAATTCTGAGATCGTGGATCTGTGCAGTGTCGTGCTGCATGTATGGTTGCTGAAGCTATTAGAAGCAGTTAGAAGTTTTATCGAAAATAAAATTTAATATTGTGCTATATTATTTGATCAGGAAATGTAGAAACAATAATGTTAATGTCTTACTGTCTATCAGCTAAAAGCCTGTGGTATATGCTTAGAACTAAAACTTAGAGCGAGTGTTTGTCTTGGTCAAACTTCCACCTCCTAAATGTGACTTTTACCTGTCATATTTTTTCTATTTGCTTTTGATTTATGTGGTGCAGGTGATCAAAACATGGGTTTGTATCCCACTCAGCTGAAAAGGTGCTTTCTTGGATTGAGTCAAAGTAGCAAAGCCACTTTCATCAGGGAGTGGTGTTTCCAGGCTATGTGAAAGACGCATCAGAGCCTGCGTCCCAGGGAGTCACCTTCTGGTCAGCATGGACAGGGCAGGGGAACTGTCCTTGAGTCAGCCTTGCAGCTGGGTTAGTTGTCCCACCCTCAGGCTGGGGAAGAGGAGTCTGGTGGTCTGTGTAACTTCATAAGGGTGTTTAGACTTCTGTGTCTGGTGGTAGGCCAAAGGGGACTGTATGAAGCAGATGAAGACTGCTCCACAAGCTAGCAATAAGGCCTGGAGTGGAGGAGGGAGGGAGCAAGTCCCATATGTCTACTCAGCATAGAAATTTGGCAAAGTCAGAAACAGATTTTGAAGTGATGGTTAAAATTTGTGTGGTGCCCTATCATGACAAATGCCCCTAGGGTACCTCTGAGCTATGGTGTGCACTGCGTAGAATACGTTCTCCAGTTGGCATGACGGTAAGTTTGATCCCACTGACATTGGGGGGTAATCAGAACCCAATTGCAATTTGCACTCTTGTGAATTTCTAAAACAGCAAAATAGAGCAAACCCTCTACTGCCAGGTATGCACCAAGGGAACAAAGGGACTGTGGGGCTTGCACAAAAGGAAGCTTATAATCATAGAATGGTTTGGTTCAGATGAGACTTGAAAGATCGTTTAGTCCAACCCACCTGCCATGGGCAGGAAATAGTAATGCTTGTATGAACTTCTGTTTCAGAACTGAAACATCACCTGCTCTTCCGTGGTGTGGACTGGGATAATCTACAGAATCAGACGATGCCGTTTATACCTCAGCCGGATGATGAAACCGATACCTCTTACTTTGAAGCAAGGAATAATGCCCAGCACCTGACTGTGTCTGGATTTAGCTTATAGCACCAAGATAAGTGAACATGCTCAGTGGTTTTGCACACTTAGGTTGTCCTATAACACTAGTTTGGTCTTGACCAAGCTTTTCCATGCCAGATTTGGAGTGTGTTTTAAGTTATCAGCCCACTTTTATTGTATCCTTTTATTCTAAAGTGAAACTACTGTATGAAACTTAGCTGGTATCAAGTGCCTCCATGCTACTTTTATCTCACCGCACCTCACTATGAGGCCAGAGCATTGTATTTCTTGGAGCTGACAACGCTTGGCAACATGGGGCTTTTTAATAGCAATGAGTAACTCCAATTAGGTGCAAAGTTATTTCCCAGTTAAATGTAACAGGGAAAGGACAGAAATGCAAGCCAATTGTATCTCTTTATAACTTACCTATTGGTGGTTCAGTGTGGTGGAAGCCTGGTTTGGGAGTAGTCTGTTCTGACCAGTTTGAGTATGTATCCACGGCGCAAAACTGATGTTTTTATTTAAGGTGGAAAACTGAAATCTTAATGCAGCATTGAAACAATGTTTATCTTCTCCCAAGAAGGGTTAAAAGAGTCAGAGTTGTTCAATGTTAACTCACATGTGGCACGTGAGATTGACAGTAGTTCCACTGGCTGTGATCCTCCCCTAGACAAATGGGGGAGGGAAATGATACTTGGGGAAGTCTGTTTAAATTGCTGCATTGCAACCACTTATACCGTATGAAGATGGACTGAACAGCACACATTTTAGCAATTATTTGTTTTAAATAGAAAATGCTGAGTATGTGTGTTTGTGCTCACTTGTGTCAGATGATAGAAAATCACGTGTGTTGGCTAACAAGTGAAGTATTATTCATATTGAAGCTGCTATATATTAAAGACTATAATGCATTGCAAATTAACATATGTATGTTCTGTAAATCACAACCAGATCTTAGATTTTACTAAACTTAAGTTACAAGTATATATTCAGTATTATAAATCCTAATTAGGGGGAAGTATATTTAAATCTGTTTTCAAATGAAACTCAAAACTTTGATCAATTTTTGCCAATGGCTTTTGAGTCCTATGAACTGACTGTTCTTGCAGGGAGAGCAAGTTGTCCCTTCATTGCTCTGCCTCCTGGAAGATGAGATATATTGATGGAAATCTGAGCAGTGTCTGCTAGGCTTCCTGCTGTCCCCTCAGATTGCTGGGAAAGGAATGGAAATGGTGGAGAAAAAAGGAAGTTTCCTAGAAGGACCAAAAAGAGTCAATCTTAACAGCTCAGAATGGCAAATCCCAGCTCTAGGAGTGACAGCTCAAACGTAGTGAAACAGAATCTTGGCAAGTTGCAAAACATGCAGTGACTCTCACTGCTTTTGCTAAGGACTTCAGTTTCAGAAAACTTCTAAATTGTTGAATCTTACTGAAATTTATGTTATATGAAAAGGTGCAAACAATGAAATGTAATACGTTACTGAAGCAGTATCCATAGACAACCTTCTCTGAGTACAATGAAAAGTTCTTTATCATTTTTCCTGTGCATAGTTAGGATACATATAGTGGGGGAGGAAGAATATCTTAATTTAAGTAATCGCTGGTACTTTATGCAATTTATTCTTCCATTTCTGGTAATCTGGTTTAGGAAAGCTGGTCTTACAAGAATGAATCTGTTTTGTGCTGAGAAAAATACTCTAACAATGTGCTAGGAAATAATGTGCTAGGAAATAATGTAAACTGAACACCACAACAGCTCTTTGTCTTCAGCACTTTACAAATGGCTACAGTCTGTTTCCATTTTGCAGTATAAGACCTTCCCTTAAGGCAGAAAAAGCTGGTTACAGTGGTAATGACATTTTAAAGATAAAGATAATTTCTAACCCCTTGAAATAATTCTTAATCAGCTGCAAGGGTCAAGTAAGCTTCTCTTTAAACTGTTTCTTAACCAACCACAATGAGCTGCAAAACTGCTTAAAAATCTTAGGTAATCTAATGCTAGTGTATATAGAGCTAGAGATGACAGTACATCAAAACATTAGGTATAAAGAATCTTAACTTACTGGTTTGGTCTTATAAAAACCTCAAAAGTTTCTTATAAAAACATATTCTAAAAGAAAATTTATGGTGCTTCTACCATAGCTTTATAATGCAATACAAAAGCATAAATTCTGTACAACAATAAATAGCTGACAGATCCGAATGGTTCATGTAAGCAGCTATCACTGCGCTGCTGTCCAGAACTGTAAAATTCTGCAGTCAGCACTTGCAATGCCTTGTTCTCTTCAATCGCTTGCACTTACCCTGATCATAGCAAACATGGAGTTCAATTTCACGGTGACTGTTGGTGTTTGTGGTGTAGTTTTGTTTGGGTTTTTTTTGGGGGGTGGGTGGGTGTGTTTTTGTTAGAAAGGTGAATCCTAGCTTTACTCTTCGGCAGGGATCCTTGTCAACTTGATCCCATTGCTTTTGCCCCACTCATTGTTTGACTTAAAATACAACAGGGAAAAGTACAGAAAGCTGTAATATAGTAGCTGAAAGATTTAAAACTTACTAGTAATCAATTACAAATATTTGTGTAAGCTGGCAAAAGTTTCTGGTCCTCAGAGGCTGTGGAGTACCACTAGGCAAGTTCTCCAGCTATCACATGGTACTTCTTGAAGGCCTAAATTTGTGTATAACCTACATACAAACTCAGTAGCTTCCAGGTTATCTTGGAGACTGTTCATCTGCGATTAGCTGGACTGAAGACTGTTAGTATTGGTAACTGTCTCATTTTCTCATAAAGAAATAGCAGTCTTAGACAACTCTCACTACCACTGACTTGCTGTTAGACTCACTTCTACACTGTGCAAGGTCTGGAGGCCAAGATACTCAAATGCTGCTGTGTGTTCTTGACCTAGCAGGTTGCAGTTTCAGCATGATCAGCTGTGCCTATAGCTATGCTTATAGTAAAATAAATTCTCTTCTTCTTGTGTTCTCAAAAAAATTACTTTGCACATTTTCATGTAAATACACAAAATAAAATACTGCAGTCTTGCTGTTGCTTGGTTCTGTGTTTGGTTTGGGTTGGGGTTTTTTTGTCTTTAAGCTGTCTTTTACTTTTGACCCTGCTGGGGGGCTGGGAAGTAGATTTTCACGTAAAGAAACCCTGAGTTTCCAAATACTCTCCCTTCAGCTCATAACTTACTAATGCCCTCTTGCACTCTATTACAAACTACATTTATGTATTTATTGCAGGAGAGCACAGAGGCTTTAGCTGGTCTGTAACTCCTGCTGGCAGTCTGCTCCTCTGTGGTAATGGGAATGAGCTGAAGAAAGGCAGTGGCTCCATCTCCATCAGGACCAGAGCAGGAGAGAGGTGGTCCTGAGGACAGGACAGCTGCCTCACACACACCTCTCTTCAGGTGGTACCTGGCAGTAGGTCAGATATTTTCCCTCTGCTTTCATCCAGTACCTGTTCATGCTTTTTAGATGACACTTGATTCACTGCAGAAAGCTAGCTGGACATTTGCTTCAAAATGCAACTTTAACTGGGGTCTAGATGTTTCTAGTGCTGTGCAAACTGTTTTGACTGCCAGCCCTGCTGAGACATCTTCCAGTTCTGGGCTCCAATGCCACTTTCTCCAAGTTAAAGCTGTGTCTCTTCATACCTGGGCAAATTATAATTTTTCTTTTCCTTTAAGATGAAATAGCAGCTAACTAGAAATCTGTTCAAGTTACAGTGAGTTTGAGATAGCCCTAGCAGCTGAGGCCCAGTGGTGAGTTACAGGGAAATGGTTATAAGAGTGAAGCCATTTGGTACTACAACATTAAGATTGAGACTGCTTCTCTGTAACCTGTAGCCAGCAGACTCTTCTGTACAACCAAAGCATCCCATATACAGCATTTACTAAGCATTAAGAAAGCTCAAGATAAATGCAAACTATTAAGGGATTGATTTATTGAAACATGAATAAATAACAAGGATGGCACATGCCTACATTTATTTCAGGGGGAAGTTAACCGTTAAGTAACCTTTGAGAATATCCACACCACCTCTAAAAGCCAGATACCTACATGTAATGGAACATGGACATGAACTGGGGGAGGAGGCACTCGAGGGTGCTGCATCCTGTCAGAAGAGGTGCTGCTGCAGGAGGTGTTTGATTTTTATTTAAGTGACCTTCAAGCTACAGTAACCTTCCTGTGGAATCACTTCTGTCATTTGATGATAAGCATTCAATCGCTCCAGGAGCTTTAAGCTGCAGGCAAAACAGGTTCAGGTCACAGCACAACTTCCCTTCCAGCGCAGCTTTGTTCAGACCTGAGTTTTCAGTACCTCTTATGCCAAAACTCATCCCTGGCTCATGAACCACCTGATGGGTACAGCAGTCTTCAGAGAGGTTCCAATCTTTTTATTTTTGAAATTCAGCTTTACAGTAAGAAAATCAGTAGAGGGGAAGAGTATCTCTTAAAAAAAAACCAACTAACTAAAAACAAGATTAAAATTGCTCTGGTAAAACAAACATGAAATTCTGTGATTACATTTTTATACAGTATAGCTTATATGAAAAATGTTTCCCAAACTATAAAAGATTTTTGGGAAGAAAATAAAAATATTCCTCAAATTATTTGTAATATGTAGTCCAGGTGGAAAAATCACAGCACATCAATAATATGGTGAAATTTCTGAGTTTAAACACAGGTTAATTATGATATAATTCTTTATAGCAAATAATGTCTCAGTTTTCTGTCAAATCTAATTTTAGTGCATTTCCCTTTTCCAGAGATTTAGACAACGTATTAATTTATTTTAAAATGAAGTGTAAAGCATGCTTTAATCAAGCAAACTTCACAAGGTTCTAACTTTATCTGTATATTTGTTAATAAATATCAGCACCAAAATTAGCTGAAAGGTTTTGTTTTGACTGGAACTAGAATGATAAGAGAGAGAGAATTACCAGAACTGGTATTTTTCCTGAAGTGAGTTGGGAAAAGTCCACAATAGATTAGGGTTAGATTAAATCTTATTTTCGTTTGACAAACTGACAACAGAAAACTTACAGT